TGGGAGGCGCTGGGAGCGCTCGCTGTTGGCGCTTCTCTCCACCCACGATCTCAGCCATCCTTCCATGTAGGTTCCCTGTGCTCACACTGGCTGTTCCTTCCCCTGCCCACCTCCCAGCAGGCAGTGAGTGTTGATGCTGCTGGTGGACGAGCTTCAGGAGGCCCTGGGGTTTGGAACCCAAGGGTTTGGAACAGACTGGATGTGATTCCCAGCAAAGCAAAGCGACCCGGCGACATGAACTAAAATAGATGATGCTTTTAAGCAAATTGACAGAGTACCGGATGAGGGAATTAGTGGACTGCATCATTCTTTTCAGATGTTATTACGTACATTCTGTGTTATTTTAAAACGCCCCGCGCTGGCCGCGCGCTATTTTTCTTAGTGTATTCAGACAGGTGTGTGATTTCCCAGGAGTATCGTAGCTCAGCCCTCCCCCTCTTTGGTTTAATTAACTTGAGGAGAATATTTTGAGAGGATTTTTTTCAGTGTAACAGAGTATTCCTTATGACCTCTTTGCCTCTCAGTGCTGGTGGAACCCGCCTGGTCCTCACGCAGCACTGCTCATCTGAGGCCATTTCTGCTCTGCAGAGCTGCGCAGCTGTGGGCGCCCACTGCTTTTGGCCCTGATGGGCTTCAGACTTTCTTTTGTGGGTTTTGTTGTGAAGAATAGAGCGGCTTTAGACATCATAGAATCATGTCAGAGGATCATAGAATGGCTTGAGTTGGAAGGGACCTCAAAGACCATCGAGCTTCAACCCCCCTCTCCTGCAGGTGGGGCTGCCAACCTCCGCATTTAACGCTATCCCAGGCTGCCCAGGGCCTCATCTGACCTGGCCTTGAACACCTCCAGGCAGTTGAAATAAAGATGGGATGACACAATAAAAATCAGTTTTAGAGCAGTGGGCCTTCTAGGGGAAGGGTTTTTTTCTGTCATCCGGGGGAAAAAAAAAGCTCTCTTTTGTTGCTGCAATATCTGCAATTCCCTTTTGGCAACCGGAGCTCCCTCGGCAGTAAAACATAGTTTTCATTAAATGATATGTCTGACATTTACCAAATCTTTATGGACAATTTAGAGGGAACTAGTTGCATTGAGCAGCCTTATTAATATTGCAGTAACATGATTAGGGGAACATCGTGGTCATTTGGGCCGCGGGGGCTTTAATTTACGAGCACAGCGGAGAGGCGGATATGAAGCATCAGCTGACCGAAATATCTTAACCTTAATTTGTTTTCTCTTTGCTCTCTCCTTATGTCTGTTCCATGCTCATGACAAGATGAGCCGCTTTAGATTTTCATTATCCCAGCAAATAACTTGATTAAAAGAACCAAACAAAAACCCCTCCAAATGGGGCTGGGGGGCGGAAGAAGGCGCACGCAGCTTCGTTCGGCCCCGTGCTGGGGATCCCTGCAGAGCCCAGGGGGACACACTTGAAAATAAGCCTGGCGTGGAATCTGGTGTCTCTTTCCGGGCTGTAGCAGGAACAACTTGGGCAAAAATAGCTCTTCTACTGCTGTGCCCATTTATCTGAGAGCCTTGGTGGTAAATAACAGGAGGAGAGAGGGAAGCATCTCAAATCTCATCAATACTTAAGACAAAAGGCTCTCTGCTCTGCAATTACTCTTCCTGTCCTTTTCCCTCCTTCCCCCAGGCCACAAACAAGCAACCTAAATAGAGATCAGGCAGCTTTTAAATGCCACAGACTCATAAAAGAAGGAAATTCAAAGTTGTAACAGAGCCTTCTCTCCTTGCATGCTTGGTGCTATTTTGGGCCATCAGCAAGCAGGCTATCCTGCAAGCTCCACACAGTGGGACCAGCAATAATTGCACCGGCTGTGGCAGCGCAGTGCCCTGCTGTGAGCTCCAGCCCTTCCCTGCTGCTCTGCCACTCAGCTCTGGGGCAGCCTGAGGGCCGCGGGTGCTGGGGGTGGGCAGCTGCACAGCCCCATTAAAATGCTGTTTGATTATTTTCAGTTTTGTCCTGCATTCATGAACAGAGCACTGCGGAGCTGCAGATTAGCTCCTAATCAAATTGCTGTTATCATTCCAGTTCTGCTTCTTGCTGCTGTGGTTCCAGGTGGAGTTTTAGCACGCAGGAGAGCAGTTGCTTTTTGTGACTGATGCCACGCACAGGATCCCGCCTTACTTCAGATGCAGACTTCTCACAAACGCCTCTGGAGCGAACTGGTGGGAAATTACAGCCGCAGAGCAGTTGGTGCTCAAGCTTGCAGCTCCTTCCCCCCTTCTGCAAAGATGCAGGTGAAGCCTTTGCATTTGGCTTTAGCAGTAACACCTCCAGAGGAGACCTGAGCTCCGCACCCGCTGTGTGCCCAGTGCTGCTATCAGCCCTCGATCTGCTGCGTCCCGCAGCAGCCATCAATTTATTGCTCTTGGCTGTGCTTGAGCAAGAGAGATAAGCGCAGGAGATCTTCCCTCTCTATTTTTTCCTACAGGAAGAGAAATATAGCAGCAATGTATATCAGGTTAGAATTGCCTCTCGTTTTATGAAGATATCTTTAGAAACCAGCTGTTTTCCACGAGCGTTAAACTGCCTTGATACACTGCTATCAGAATCGACAGCTCCAGAGATTTCCAAGAGATTTTGTTCTATCGTGTTTTATTTTATTTTGTGTAAATTTCGTTAACTGCTTTCCAGTGACCTCTGACTGTGTTCTTTTTATCACAGAAATAAAAGAACAGAAAACTGATTTCAGCCTTGCAAAATCCCAGCAAGGAGCAAGGTTGCGCAGCTCAACCTTGTGGTCTCTCCACTCCTCATCCAAAATGAGGAGTATTTTACTTCCATGTCAAAATGTTCAAGACCTCCAAGCAGGCCGTAGGACTTGTCTCAGTCAGTCGGTGGACTTGCTGTCTTCTTTACAGGGAGGAGGAGAGGATGAGTTGCTGAGGAGCGCCTGAGGTTCTGTTGCAGGTTATAGTAGGGTTAGGGTTATAAATGTTTGCATATGCAAGAAAAAAATCTGTAATTTCTGTACTGATGATGGCTTGTATTTCAGCCTCATGGAGGTACCCATGCCATACAGGCTGTGATCTAAAGGACTTTTTTTAATTTCACGTATTTATTTATTTCCACCTGTTTCATGGGCTGCTTCCCTGAGACGGATAACTGGGCTGGATTCGTTGGGGTGACCGCTTCATTGTGAGGATCAGCTGCACAAAACCCTCTGCTTCCCACTGTTAAACGTGGCCGTGGATACACAAACTGTTGTTACACAGTAAGAAGGAAGGGGACAGACTCTTCAGCAGGCCCTGCTGTGATAGTATAAGTGGGAATGGTTTCCAAATAAAAGAGGGGAGATTTAGGTTGGATATAAGGAAGAAGTTCTTTACAATGAGGTGCTGAGGCACCAGCACAGGGGGCCCAGAGAGGTGGTGCTGCCCCATCCCTGCGCGTAGCCAAGGTCAGGCTGCAGGGCTCTGAGCACTGGTGGAGCTGTGGATGTCCTGTGCATTGCAGGAGTGGGACAACGTGACCTTTTAGGGTCCCTTCCAATTCAAATGATTCTGTGATGCTACGCAGATTGGGGAGGAGAATACTGTGTTTTAGTTTGGGTTCCATGAATGAAGATTTCCCTGTGATCACAAACACCTTTTCTTGTGAGCTGAGTTCCCATAGTGTTTGTTGGGCTCTGAATGCATCCCATCCAAACTTGGTGCTTCTTCCACATGTGAACTAATAGGAATGCAAGTGAGAAACCAGACACGTCCTGGAGCCGCTCTGTGACACAGCGGCAAGGATGCAGCAAAACAGAGCATCCATCATTACTGCCTTCTTAACTTCCTGCAGTTCTGCTGTGGTCATGAGGCAGAAGTATTCCTTGGGAAGGGCGTCCCACCATCCCTCACCAAAGCCTCTTGCTGGTATGGGCAGTGTACGTTTTTAATAGAAGTGCCTCTCCTCCCAGTTCCAGAAGAGGAAATAAATGCACACATGTATAGGAATGTGCAGTAGGTGGACACAAAGGTCTGTTGTGACGCACTGTCACGCACTGTTGTGCTGTTTCTCTGAGGGAAAGCAGTGTAACAGAGGGTTCCCTCTCCCTGGAAGGACCCTGTTTGCTCACTGTGTGTCTGTGGGTTCAGGAGCTGTGCTTTATCACGTGTCTCCAGCCAAGGACTGCCTATGGAAGTTGTTTATTGCAGCTGCTGCTAATGTTGTTTTTCTTTCTGTTCTTGGTGTTCTAAAACAAAATTACTGTGACTAATGTACCACTGTAAATTTCTGCAGCATCTACAGTGCTGCTGTCTGCGTGTGATGCATGGTGTCTTTTTAGTGTATTTTTTTAATATTTCAGCAGAGATGCCCCTTTTGTGTATTGGCTTAGCAAATGGCAAAGCACTTCTGTGAAATGCAGCGCAGCAAGAAGGTGTTAAGTCCTGTCTGCTGGACAGATGTCCGTGTTTCTTTACTGATACCCTAAAGTGTCAATGTGCTTCTTAAGAGGAAAATGTTTTCATACATCTCTAAAGTCACGTTGCTCAAAAAAGAGGAAGTTATCCCACGTCTGACATCGATCTGAGTGCAAACAGTGAAAGTGATGTATGAACTGATGCTTTTCAGCTTCTGGTGCTGTGTGAGAGGCACCGGTGTGACCTGACCCTGCAGAGGCACTGCAAACAGAGATTTCTCCCCCCCAGAAATAACGCCTTTTTATCTCTGCGCTTTTCTTTCCTTCTAATTTTCAGTTTGTATTTGAGCCCAAGAATAGCAGCCCTTGCAAAGTCATCGTCATTCTTATTTCTTTCTTCTTTTTTACACCAGCCATTGGCACTTTGTTACACGCCGGACTCTAAAGTAAAACTTGGCAGGCTGTAAAACATAGTTAACCTGATTCAAAGCGGCGAAAGGTGAAAAAGAAAGAGGTGCCAAATATGGAATATTGCTTTTCTACAGAGACTTTCCTCGCTCTGCAGCGCGCTGTTTCATAAGTTCTCTTGGAGTGTTTTTTGCTTTATCTCATTCTTTGTTTCTGGTTTGCAGACCGCAGAATGGTTCTATGATCCTGTATAATAGGAAGAAGGTGAAGTACAGGAAAGATGGGTATTGCTGGAAAAAAAGGAAAGATGGGAAAACCACCCGAGAGGATCACATGAAGCTGAAAGTCCAAGGAGTGGAGGTAGGAGAACTTTGCAAGTATTCTCCTTTTTTTTTCACGTGGAAGCTGTGTGTTTGTGATTGATTCTCACCAAACAGGTAATTTTCACACTAATTGTCATCATTTTGCATATGCTCATTAAGAGTTGCTCTTAGAATGTGCAGAAATAGATTTTCTATTGAATTTAGACCAGAATCAGACTCTGCTTGAGAGAATGTTTTGAAAGAGACTGTTGCTCTACTGATGTTCCTTAGCAACTCAAAAAAAACCAGACGGATCATTTCACCTGACGCGGTGTTTCTGGAACGAGCCTGTTTGTTCTAAAATATGTCACCGTTTGACATAACCATTCTCCTACAGTCTGTGTGTGAGAAATGAGCTATTGGATCGCATCAATCACTTCTGATGCGCAGATGTGGATTAAAAAAATGAGGGTTTTTAATTTTTTTACTGTATTAAATGGGAATTGCGTGTTCTGGTGGTTGGAGTTCTGATGCAAAGTTGGTTCTTAAGATAACAAGACTGTTCCTTTGGGCCAAAAGGATGAGGAAATGTTCGGCAGCACGGTGTAGCTGCGTTACCCAGAAATGCTCTGATTAGCAAATGAATAGTGAAGCTGTAAGGGTATATATTTGTATAAGCTGTATTGATTTTTGTAGTTAATAGACTGTGAGCACCACTATGGATCTGAGGCTGCACCCGTTTGTGCAGGCGCAGCACAGAACAGTTCGTGGCGCTGCGAGGAACTGATGCTGCCAAAGGGCCATTGAGGTTCTGCCCACCCTGGGGTGGGAGCAGCAGCTGCACTGCTGCACGGCGGCCTTGTGCTCGCATCCCATCCGCGGAGCTGCGTTCAGCCTGCGCTGCTCCCAGCAGTTGGGTGCATGGAAGGCGTTCCGCGCTCACGCTCCCTTCTAGGCAATTTGTCATTCTTACATTCTGTCTGTTTTAATGAGGTTTTTGGTTTTAAAATAGTATTAAATGGATTGCATTATATTACACCAGGGAGACATAACTTTGTTCCATAATTTTTACATCCAATAACAATGTTTTATTATGACAAGCCAAAAAAAAAGTCAGCATAATAGAAATTGTAGTTTGTTTTTGTTTAGTGTTTGCAGAATGGGATTTAATTAAGTTCCATGAACTTTAACAATGCAGAATACCAAAACCTGCGCCGCAAACTTCAGCTATAGGACAGCAACCTGTGACAACCACACATATGCATTCTTCAGTGAACACTTTCCTGATGGCTTTTTTTTTCTAAATAGGGTGATCAGCCATTAGTACCTGACTTCTTGTATGTCTGCACCTACCGCATTTAAGTCAAATACTTCTACTCTGAGTGCAGTAATTCCTATTTTGCTGCTTCTAGAAGGTAACACACCTTTAATGGAATGTACAGAGGGTCAGAGAATGCACCAATTTGAAGTTTCTTTCAGTGGTCAATCACTTTCACCACTTAAGAAAATAAGGGTCATAGTGATTTCCTTCTGATTTGAATGTGTCTGAGTTCAGCCACTCATTCTTATGTCATTCTCCACTTTAAGAGCCCCTTAGTACTTTATATTTAGCCTCCAAGGAGATACCTGTGCTCTCTAATCCAGCCTGTCTTTCAGACTTCTTAATGTGAAGCCTAATAGGCAGAACCTGGGCCTCCTTGTTGTGATAAATGTGGGACTCACTCTGTGCTGCAGTGCCAGGGGTCTCCCAGCAGGTAACGCAGTGCACAAGCACGGATCTGGTTCCTGCATCAATGCTGTGGACAATTAATGGGATTTTCATCAGGCCTCCAAACTGGTGGAACACAGTTTCTACATAATTCTATGCATTAGATAGCAAAAGGGGAGTATCAGAATCCAGATTGATCATTTAAGCGTTGAAAAGAAATGGACATTTTCTCCCTCAGGGCATCAGAACACGCAAAGGAAGCAATGATTCAGGTAGCAGTGATTGATGTCAGGAGAAAATAAACCCACCTGAACAACCAAAGAGAGATTCAGGTCCCAATCAGAAAGTTAACTCCAGCATACTTTTGGAGCTAGGAGAGCTGGATCCGTTGTGGAAATCTCTCCTGTTCTTTGAGTACGTCCCATTCGCTTGTCTTTCAGCTTTGCTGATTTAATTCCAGCTGAAACAGGCAAAAATGAGTGCTAATAAGTAACAGTGTGGGTCTGGTGCACCATTCCAGTGTTTTCCGAAGGCTGTAGGACAAGTTTCCCTGCAGGATGAGCTCAGGTTCGCTCCACTTTGCTGCACCGCAGTGCTTTTCTCTCCAGCCCACTCTCAGGTCTTGCTGCTACCTGCTTGCTCATTTTGCTGACAGTGTTGCATCTAATAATTGCTACAGATCTGAGTTCTGAACCATGTAGAAAAAGTTAATTTTCTTGACCCCAAAATGTTACTTGGAAAGAATGATGTATTTTAACCTTTTTAATTACTAGCTCAGGGCACCCTGCACTGCTGCTTCATGGATAGAGTACGTTGTTATGTTTCTGATCCCATCCTAACTGGAAGTGATGTTCTTTACTTGGATACAGGCAACAGATTTAAAATAATAAAAAAAGACCCTTTTAAAAGTTGGAATGATATTGTTGTTAACCACATTAGAGTTTAACAGGGCATGAAATAACTGTCTGCCTTGTGGCATTGCCAGATCGCGTTTGCTGTTCTTGCAGCCAGAAGATAAATAGGTATCATGGCCGTACTGATGGAAAAATACAAAGGCAGCCAAGAACACAGATCGTATCCAAATCCAGTTTTGGGAACGGCAGTTGCTAGGTGAAAAGGAAAAACACATTGGCCCATACGAGCACTGACCAGCCAATTCTGAAACGTTCTTTGTGTGAGTGGATTTTACCACTAATGGCTTTCTGAGTTCGATACAGGGAATGGCTTCTGCATCTGTCCCAGATTTGGGTAAGGAAAAAAAATGGAAGCAGTTGCACTCTGGGATCTTCGTGTTCATCTCTACCATGCAGAGGGATTTGATGAGCGTGGACAATAAAGAAAAACTAGAAAATCTAGGAAGGGGAATAAACTAATTAATCAAGCAGATGCTAAGTGATAACTGCCTGAAATGCTTAAGCTGCTGCCTCACTTAGCATCACTATGAGTAAGGGGTTCGGATATTACTTGGTTAATCTGGTGCACAATCCTCTTAGAAAATGCTTGATAAACCAGAAAGAAGTTAATTTGGCCTTTCCCTTAATATACATCTTTGTGCAATTCTTTGTGGAATCTATTAAAAATCTCCAGTCCGTGATCCTTTTTAAAATTCTAATTAATTAGGATCCCTGGTGATATGTTCCTAATCAATTCACATAATTAAAAATTTTAACTAATAAATAAGGAGTAAGTTGAAATAGCTGTCAAGTCGTTGCAGCCTGGTGCTGCTATGGGTTGTGGTTGGGCTGCGGGGCGCTTGGTGCATTCGCCGCTCCTTTTTCTACGCCTCTTTCCAGGTGTCCATCAGTTTCACATCCACACGAATTGGTTGCTCCTGCAATTAATGCATGCTTGTATTTTTGTGGGAAATATCCCCGTGTTTTGAAAGGCTGGCACAGATGCTCTTGCTCTTTATCCTATATTGAAAACAGGTTTGTTCTTTCCAAATCCCATTGCCTGAAGAGAAGTTAGAGCAAATGGCTCTGCTAAATTTCAGGCAGAGCTCTGACCTGCTGAGCCGCTCTGAGCGTGAGCAGCGCTGCCTGGGATGCGGTTGTGCCAAATTGCTGCCATGAACCTGCTGCCCTACCGAAATCCAGTGGTGGAAGCAGCAGCAGCACCGCTTTGTGCGCTGCCTCTCATCTCCATACTTGTGTGGAAGAGGAGCAGTGCTGTCTGCTGGACAGTGAGGACCCCCCTCTGCAGCCCCAGTTCGTTAGTGAGGCAGGTTCATCAGTTTTGATTTAGTCTGGCACCACTGATTTAAGATTGGAGCGATCAGAGAACAAGATGAGCGCATTAAGCTTGTAGGTTTGAAATGTCTCGTTCTCTAATGTATAGATGTGTGTTATCTCAGTACAATATGACAATCTTTATGAATTTCTTAAAAAGAAAAAAAAAAGGTAAAACTTGATCTAAGTCTTATTAAGAGAGAAACTCCCTTGTGGGGATGGAGATGCAGAATACCAATTTTGCATGCAGGACTTGTATTTAATTATTATCATAACAGTCCCTTAACACTGTTACAGATTAGTCCACAAGGACACAAATGGAAGTTTTAGATTATTCAATTACTACAGAAACCCTGGAATATCACTGTCAGGACTTGACAGAGGCTCCTTCAGCTCGCCGTGAGCCCGGCCTGGCGCGCGGTGCGATAACGCCGCGATTCGCGCAGCGCTGAGCTGCAAATGCACAGCGGCGACTTCTCCTTTTAGGAGGTGACCAAGTGGGCTTTCCTGCATTATGCAAAGAACCCATCGCGGAATATTAAACCAAAGATGTTTTTACCTTTCAATTCCCCATCAGTGAAATGTACGTGTAAGTTATTACTGGAGGGCGAAAGCAACAAGCAACTTCTGAGATCACACGCTCAGCAGCACTAATCTTGTAAACTATTCCTAGGACAGCCTGATCCAATTCGCTTTAATTTACATGGGCTTTACTCCCCCTCAGAGGTGAGCTGCGTAGTTTGCAAACTAATTAGGATTACATTGTTCAGTCAGGCTGCTTAATGCATTCCAGAAAAATACTGCGGAATGGCTTTGGAGAAGAAATTAGAGTTTAATGTGAAAGGCTTTCTGAAAATATTACACACATATGTGCATACATTAACACAAAAAAGCACAGCCCTGAAATGAAAGGAGAAAAATTGCTCGGGAGTAGTGACAGTTCCTATACAAATCTATGCTTTATCATCGCTATTAAGGATTTTTTTTCCTTAGGTCGCTGGAAATATTTAACTTCTGCCATATGATTTCTAACCAGAATCCCCCTTCATCTCCTGCAATTCATTGGAGGCACAGAGCATAGGAGTGTCTCCCCACTTACGGTTTGTGTCCCACAGCTCTGAT